GTCATAGAAGGTCGCGAGAGCGAAAGAGCGGGAGAGTGGAGGTGAAGGGGGCTCGCCAGGAGAGAGAGCCATCAGTGCGAGCGACGCACGTGCGTGTGAGTGCGTGCAATTTAATGATTTCCAGCCGGAATTTCGATGACGCCGGGAGCGCGGAGCGAGGAGACTGGGAAAGAGGAAGCGAGTGGTTGGAGAAGCAGGGGGAGAGAGAGAGAAATGCGCGACCGGAAGAGAGAAGCGGCGGTCGCGAGTTGGTCAGGGTCGGCGCATTTCCGCCCGCGAATTCCTGTGCAAGGGTTGAATAGAGAGAAAGAGAGGAAAACGTAGAGATATCGACAGAAATTGGATAGAGAGAAACAAGGAAAGAAATGAGAGAAGGGAGGAAGCACAAAGGAAGGGTGAAAAAGAGAAACAGAGACAGAGTTCAGGATAAGAGAAAAGACGCTCGCCACCGGGAGCGAGATGGGACGTAAATTTTCTAGCAGTGCGTTCATTTGTTCGTTGAACGAAATGCGAATGCATTATACATGGATTGCAGGGGACATTAATTTTCTGCCGTGGACGTGTAGTGGGCCGCGCGCGCGGCAGGACGCGGCAGGGCTGTGCCGGGCAGCGCGAGAGAGGGTGGGTGGCAATCCACCCGGTATATAACATCCACCCGGTGCGAGGTTCCGTAGAACACGCGGGGTTGTGTGCGAGACGCGCGGCCAGCGCACACCACCGGTCAGACCGAGGTGGTGGAAAGGTGGATATAGAGGAGGGAGGTTGGCGATTCCACGGGCTGTTTCGTGCTTCACACGTCCAACCACGTGCGAGCTTTTGCCGGACTTTCTATCTACTTTTGCGAGTCCCGGTGATTTTGACGAGTGGAACGGCGGGACGAGATGTATCGGCGCCGCGAATAAAAAAAAAAGCGCGACCGACGAAACGCGAGATTTCACGAAAAATAGTCGCGGTTTCGGGCCGACGTCAAAAGGGTCGCGCTTTTGCGCAGCGAAAGGGCGAACCAGTAGGAGTGTGGGAAATCATTGGACGTTCTGTCAGAGGTGTTTGATATTCCGAAAATGATTTGCGCGCAACGCCGCTGGAGAAAGCGCGACAGTAAAGCTAGGGCTGGAGGCTGTTGGAAGGGTTGGCAAGGGAGGAGAGGAAAGCCAAGCGAGCGGAGAGTGTGAGTGAGAAAGAGCTCGAGGGTAGTAACCGTACGTCAAAATTAAATGTTGAAATTCGTGTAGAATGTCTGCCGCGATAAATTCGTTCGTGCAACAATGATCACGATTTTTAATGGAATAAAATTGAAATTGTCCGTACCCCGAAATGACGGATAGAATTTATGGCTTGCTCGAAAATACGACTCGACAGCAAATATTATATTTTACCCTACGGTGTTCGGTCAAGCGATATTTCGAAATATTGAAACGCGAGGTATTAAGAAAAATACACAACTGATTATTTTTTTTTAAATTAAAATTGCGATACTATTTTGAAAGTTAAGCCCTTCGTAATAAATATATAATTATTTAATTTTTCAAAAGTTAAACGTATAAACTCTAAAAGAGAGATTGAAACAACAACAAGAGACTGTCAGATCAACTTGAATAGATAGCAAAGTGCACCGATTCATCAAAAGTTCTTTATAATTCGTAATTCTTTGCACTCCACAAAGGGTTTCGAAGAATTGGGGCTAGACCCTTCGACGTGACAATCTCGACCGATTCTTCTTTCTCACCCTCTCTCTGTTTCCGTCTCGTTTCTTATACTTCGTTTCTTTCACACGCGAGATCTGAAATTGATTAATTATAAGTTTTTCGTGCGCGCGAAAATCACGCGGCTATTGCATTACTCGATAACTTATTAGATTACAATATAAAAACTTATATTGAATTATTAAAAACAATACAGTATTTCCGATCCAGTGCGGAGAAGCTAACGAAAAGGTCATCGATCCTGCGAATGCATCATTAATCATCGCGTTTGCTTATCGAATCAGAGGAAATTCGATAAGAACTAATAGAAGTCGACTAGAGTAGTATAAAACGACGTTTATCATAACACATTTACAAATTAATGCCTTAGCGAGTGACACGGCCAATTAAACTGTGACGAGAGTAAAAAATGAATGTCGATTGCATGCTCGAAAAGCTGCCAACGCTTATGTATTGTATGTTGTCGCAACTTTTTTTATATTATCGCGCGAGAATGTCCGACGTTATTTTGTCGGCGCGGCTGTATTATCGCTATAATATAGCGCGGGAAGCTCATCCGTTTTCGTAGAAAACGGCAGGAGAGTCGTCTGTTCTATGTCATTATTTCCCTTTTATGAACTAAGAAAGAGAGAGGTGTGCTCACTTCGTAACCCCTCTCGCCGCGCGTTTGTTCCTACCGTCGCTACTTCCGGTAAGCGTCAAGCGCACAAAAAAGGTGAATATTACGTATGTGCGAGCCGTACACGTGGGCGAGCTCATCGTTCTACAAATAAATGTTTCAACCGTCAATTAAGCGCCGACAATAAGAAACCACTAGACTTCCCTCCTTCGACCGCCACCGTTTGTATAGCCGGTGTATTAATACGTTTTTAATTGTAGCGCGACAAGAGAAAATATACGGTCTCGGACGGTAGAAGAAAAAAAAACTCTATGTCCGCTCATAAAAACTCCAATAATATGCCTTCTATAACATTTTTATTCTTTTTCACCGAGTTTTTCACATTGTCGTCTATGTAAATATTGTTTTTGTTGTTCAAATACGAATTTGTCTTGATATTAACTTTGAATATCAACGTTTAAAAAATTTATTCTAACCATTTATTTTAGCATATCGCTTATTTTGCCTAGTTATTCAGCAGAAGTTATCAGATCGATTCGTATATCTTTTATAAAAGTATCAAAGAGAATATGAGATTCGTACATTTATATATTTGAAAGAGAATACATATGCACGAGTATATACACACGTAGTATATACGCGAATATACGCGAAAGTGGATTCTTATCACAGATAAGTTAACGCGTATGTGCAGCGGCGGGGCTGTTTCCACCTCACATGTGAAAACCTTCGCAAACGAATGCAGTGGAGGCGCGTCTTCCTCTTCCCTGCATTTGTTTCACGTGGGAAATGCGAGCGATCAGCTCGCACGTTTTTATCAGAAAATCGCTTTCTGTAATAACAGACTTTTTGCTAACGTCATTATTGAAATATCCGAGTATTTTTATTGCCGTGCTGACATTGTAATAGCCAACTTTTACTGCTCCGTATCACGCAAAAAAGTTTTTATGACCTTTCTTCAATGAAAAATATGTATATGTTTGTGACAAAATTCACCAATCGCGTTTTGATTCTCATGCCTCAAAAATCCCGAATGTCACAATGCGCGACAAAAGAATGCAGTAAAACTAATTTTGCTTGTTCAAGTTTTATTTTTATTAAATCGAACACGATTAAATTCTCTGATGAATCATGCGACTGAATAAAAGATGAATCCCGTGGAACGACTGAAGTAGGAGAAAGAAAAGTAGACGAAAGAGAGAGAGAGAGAGAGAGAGAGACGGAGCGAGACAGCGGAAGGAACAAGTGCCCGGGGTAAAAAGGATTGGGGAAGAATGTCGATATTAATAAAAGTTAAATTGAGCCAATCGCTTGTGGGAATTAGAATCGAATCCACTAGAGAGACGGAACGGCGTGGAGAAAAGGAAGAGAAAAAAACGCAATAAAAACGCGGCAGCTGAAGTCTGCCTCTCGAATGCCGATCGATCGAGGCGATTAAACGATCGAGAGAAGCTGCATTTTACTCTATCATTATATTGCGCGGGAGAGAGGCGCTTAAATATATTCGTACTTTGTAGAAGTAAACGGAAATTTTCTTAAGTCCGAGCAATAAACGACTTCTCTCGCGCGCGCATTTGCATTGGAAAACGCTGCGCGCACGTTATCCACCTCCAATTTACGCATTCTCGGTCATGCCTTCCTGTGCCCGTGGTTGGTGGAAAAAAATGCCGTGTTTTTCTTTCCACCTACTCGTCGATGTAGATGTAGAAACCTGTTGCATGCCCGTAAAAAAAAAAAAAAAAACACAGCTCCAAGCAAAAAAGCCGGGAGTCACTGACCAGCCAATTCACTTCCCTAAGCGCGTTTTTCCACACGGCTTTTATATATACCATTTAAGAGCGAGAAGTGTGAGAGACATACTTGGCGAGCTGACAAACGAGTCATTAATGACGTTTCAATCTCTTCATCAATCTTCGTCGCGCGCAGACTGCGCGAGGTGGACAAAGTTAATATTGAATGTACGATACATGTTAGGGATGATATCTCTCCGTTTACACGCCAATCAAAAGTAAACGGTATAAACAGCTTAGAATATTTCGCGCGATTACGAATAATTAAACATAAAATATGATAATAAATTCGCTCGTGGTATTAACAATAAATATAAAATAATTTAAGTAGGTCTGTTGCGCGAGCTAACAAAAGATCTTAGATTTTTTGTTAAATATGAGATAACAAAAAAATAAAATAAATTGTATAACTTTATGTTATCTCACATTTTTAATAAAAAATGTAAGAACTTTTGTTAGCTCGCAACAGACGTACTTAAATTATTTTATACGAATAATTAAGAAAACTCTATGTGACTACTATAAATAAACAAACAATAATTTATCGAGACACGTGGAATTTACTGTGTTTGTTTACGCAAATGTCAGGAAGATATATTATAATTTGTAACATTCTTAACGAGTCACACACACACGCATCTCTCTCTCTCTAACAAATATAATAAAACTATACTTATTACTTTTTATCTCCAAGTAAAATATAGCTATTCTTTCGATTCTTGATCTGCGGAAAAATCGCGTGTCATGACTGGTGCAAATTTCCCGATCGAGAGCGTGCATATGAGCAGGGCCGTTACGTGCGCTCCACACCGCACCCGTAATACAATTTACGTACGCTCGTGCACAGCCGCACGAAATTCTAATACGCCTTACGGTATCTGATCGCAGGTGAACGACCGTACAAGTGCCATTTACCGGACTGCGGGCGGGCCTTCATCCAACTGTCGAATTTGCAGCAACACCTGAGGAATCACGACGCTCAGGTGGAGCGGGCGAAGAACCGGCCGTTCCATTGCAACATCTGCGGCAAGGGCTTTGCCACGGAGTCCAGTCTCCGTACCCACACGTCGAAGGTCAGTCATGTATGTACCAAATCCGACGTCCAACTCGCAAACTCGCTGATACTCGCGGTGCCGGTAACAACCGAAATTGGTCGAGAGGTGAACATGTTTAAAAAAGAACCAAAGGATCGATCTCGGTAAAATCGCGCGACACCATTTCCGCTCTAATCGCTCCTCTCTAACGATTCCGAAATCTTAACATTTTTAACTCTTTCTCGCGCAACACGTTCAGTTTACTCGTACGCACGCACATGGTGGTGGTGGGTTCACGCTTGTCTCGATGTACTTTTGTACAGATGGATTCCCGTTTGAGCGCTCTTTGTCCGCCGTTTCCTTTGTTCCGTTTCGAGGGCTCCCTGTATAATCGATGTATGTCCTAAAAGCAAAAGTTAAAAGTAGTCGTCGCTGAAGATGCAGCCGACGATGTCGAGCTTCTTTTTATATGTATCATAAAAGAGCTCGTGAACGGAAAATTCGGATTTCCAGCTAAACAATCGCGCCATGATTTGCACAACCTCTTTTTTTGTAGATCAGCATACTTATATATACTCTCGCATTACGAGGGTGGCTTTGAATAGTTTTTTCTGGGATTTTTTGCGGGTTGCTTGAGCTTGCTTTTTGCCTCTGGACTCTCTCATATGTACGAAGCTTATCATCAACACGGAAATCGACGTCACGTGATCATCGATTGGTCCGAAAAAGCCGAGAAAAAGCTTTCACGCTTCAAATTTACATACATTTCAGCAATCTTCTCTCGGAAATATATTCTCTCGAAATGACAAGAACGTAACTTTCGAGAAATTAGTCACGGAAGATTATATTGACGGCAGAACTTTTTAGCAAAACAAAGATGTCACAAGGGGTGGAAAGTTTTTTAATGCCACGTGTTACGAGAGCGACACGGACCGGAGGATTTTCTCATATACAAGTCGCCGTGAATGAACAATCGTTGTTTACATACAGACGATATGGTCGCCGAGGGTGCGTGTCACCGACCGATTATTAAAGGGACAGAAAAGTCCCAGAGAAAAAAGAAAGAAATGCGGTCCGATCTGGGAGAAAGACCGCGACCCCCGTGTGTCTGTTAATCGAATTCACCCCTTGCTCGCGTGGAAATCGCGGCGCGCAGCGATTACTGGCGGAATCTTGTATTGTGGGGTGGTTTTTTGCCGCCGCCGCCGCCGCCTCACCCGGTCGGCAACTGAATTTCTCAACCCTTTCGCTTTCCGCGCCGGGCACATGTCTCAACGAAAAAACGTGGGAAGGCATCTGTCGGCCCGTCCGAGGCGCTCTCCTTCCCTCTTCTTTCTTCCTGTATCCTCTTTTTTCTTCGAGAAAAGAGCTACGCTCGCGGTGGTTTTTGTTTCGATTACTACTGGTTCGCGTTATGTAACAATTCATAAATATTATTTCACTAATAAGATGTGCTTGCGTGAAACTAGTAAAAAATTTACGTTCAACAAACTGAGAACTAAATCCTGAAATTGATATTAAATGTGTGCAAAATCGATCATTACGTATTTTAAGATGTGCAACTTTCGCGGAATCAGGTGCGGCGCCCGTTGAGACGCATGCGAGTTTAATCCGTTCATACGTCGGCAATAAATATCGCTCTTTTAACACCCCGGGCGCTTCTAATTGAAACCTAATCCATGGTTGAAGCTCTGAGATTATCCCTTTCCCGTCCCTCGCGCGACCTCGATAAATCTCCCGTGAAGCCGACAACCCTTGCCTTGCCAACAAACTCACCCGAGAATTTTTTTCGCTCTTTTTTTCAAAAAAAAAAACGCGCAGTCATGAAAGAATAAACTAACGCGTCAAACAACTCGCGCGATAATCTTCGTAATAATGAGAACGTTTTTCATTTTTTTAGTAGTCGAGTTATTTAAAGTAACAAGACGAGAGTGGCCTTGATGAATTTTCCAATGGTATAGGTCTCGCCCTTTGCGAAATTATTCCTGAATAGTCGGCTTATTATAGTGTGCGAGATCAATGCGCCAGATTAAATACTAATATGAAATATGCACGAACGTATCGAGCCGCGCGCGATGGTAAAGTTTTGTCCGCAGATTTATCAGCAAAAATATCAGAATGCACGTAGTTCGCGTCGAGGAAGAAAAAAAACCTCGACGGTTCAACAAGAAGAAACTAAGAAGAACGTAGAAGAAGAGGGAACGGGAAGAAACGAGAGAAGAAGACGAGAGAGGATCTTATACGGAGAGAACGGCGGCGAAGTAATTAAAAGCCGCCAGGCGCGAGCGCGACAGAAACAGAGTACGCTGGAAATAAAACGAAACGAAACAAATGGAGAGCTCAAGCCCATCTTCCGCGGCTAATCGAATTTTCGCCGGGGCAGATTTCTTGAAATTGTTTTCGCTATTTCTCAGACCGCCTAGCCTCCCACCTGATTCCCCTTTCGTTACTACCCTGATAGCTAATGGATTGTTGTTAAAATAAAACAAAAAAAAAGAAAAAACACGAGAGGAAGGGAGCAAAAGAGCAAACCCCGGAGAGCACGGGAGAGCTGGAGAGACGCGGAGAAAGCGAGACTACGAGGGAAAGAGGAACGGCTCACGGAAGTTCGGTGGAGAGTAAGGGGGGAATGAAAGAGTTACGCTCCGGGTTGGAGGCCTGGCGTGTCGGCGAAACATTATCCCGCTAAGAAAGACAATACACCCGGAGTACAATATTATAATAGGCCGGAGCGTAAATGTATTATAGAGAACGATCGGTAGCCCGGGCATAGAAACTCGTCTATGGTACCTATACACCTCCTCACCTTCTTTGCCACCACTTTTCCTCTTTCTCTCTCTCTCTCTCTCTCTCTCTCTCCCCTTCCTCTCACTTTCTCTACGTATATCCTATTAACTGTTACCCTCTTCCCGCTCGGATCGGAACAGGGGCGGATCATCGCGACGATACACCGCCGCGATATGTCTCCGGTTTAATACGTTTCCCAAATCCCGGCGGTGTGGCCGATCTGACAAGCGAGTCTCCGCGTCGAAATTTCCTTCCAGCTAATCAAGCTATAGAATCTGTCCGACCTCGTAATATTCTCGTACATATTCCCGCGCAGGCAAACTTTCTCCTTCATCCTCGCCATGTGTGATTTTTCATCCCGAAAATTCGCCTGAGAGATTGACGCGACGTTATTTCACACGCGCGCATTTGAAAGTTAAATTACTTACAATCGACGATGTCTCATAAATTTGACCGGCCCTGATCTCCTCGCTCTTTCTCTCTTTCTTCTTCTTTCTTTCTCTTTTTCGTGGCTCTTCTAGTCACTTTCACGTGGCGCGCAGTATTTTCGTATTTATCGGTACGAGGGTTGAATGTCGTGCAACACGATACAAATCCCTGTCTCTCCGGCTTTGCGGATCTTACTCCTTTAGGTACCTTACCTTTCGACCTTCTTCTAACCCACCCCTGTCATCCCTCTACCTCTTTTCGCTCTTTCCTGGACCCTTCCCCGTGCCTCTTCTTAATTGCCCTGGCGCGCGACTCGGTAAAAACTCGTTAGCCATTAGATTTATATTTTCTACCGCCACGGGGATTCCATCCCTCTACTACTCTCTCGTCGCGCTAAAAACCGCGCGATGGTTGTATTTTGCTTAACGCCAGAGCTTTTTTACACGCAACGATCGTCGTTTGCCGCGCACTGATTGATCGCCCGCGATAAATGCAAATCTGTTTGTCTCCCCCTCCCAGCGGGGAAAAGGTTGCAGTTTCGTTCGTTTATCGCCGCTGTATTTTCGCCCCGACACGGAACGCTAATTAATTACTTTGCTTGCGGTATATTTACACGGCATTTTTGTTTTGTTTTTTTTTTTTATTCCGCGAATACGTGAGCGCGTAACGTACGCGGTATGAATATACTCCCGAAAACCTAAACCCTATGACTGACGATTTAATGGTATCACATTAATTCAGATTGATCTCCATTTCATGCTGGTCTCTCTTTGTCGCAGTGTTCGAAGTATCCATGGCAACGATTAAAGGTAAAACGATCGGTCAATATGGGAGTCGAAGCCCATGGGAATTCCTTTCGGCTGTAATTTCAACTCGTTTCGGGCGCGTGTTCACGCACATGCGCGCGCTCGTCGCCGCGCACGTGTAAAATTATGGTCTCCGATTTTCATTATAATGATCCATCCGCGCGATACATGACAAATGCATATTTATATACACGTATTACATATATATATTATACATATCCTTATAACTCTGTGCAGTTTTCTCGAAATCATGATAACGTTGTGACGCGCGATATTATGATAGCGCATTTTTCGCGCACATTTGATACATGTTGTCTATTTAATTAACGCGCGCGATATGTTGTATACTGCAGGGAGATGCACCGCTCGCCGTCTGATTGATCTCAACATCGCGAAGTACTAATGAAATGATTATAACCCGGCTCTTGTTCCTTTTTCCCACACATCTCTCTCCTCGATCACGGAGAAATCATGAGTACGCAAGATTCAATACTGTCTCACGTCGCGACACGCTGATGTATAAATTGCATACAGTCATGAAGAGGTACGATGATGTATCGCCGAAGAGTCATGCCACACGAGCGCTTTCGCCCGTCGATCGCGCGGTTAATTACCGCTTCTTAATTTTGCGGACCGCTCTTCTAATTAAGCAAGCTTCACTCCACTCTCCAAAATCCCTCCTCTCTCCTCTCTCAGTAATCCGTGATATGGCTTTCCTCTCTCTCTCTCTCTCTCTCTCCCTTTCTCCTTCGTCGGTAAACATCGCCGGCTGGCGAATCTCCAGAAGGACTTTTCGTTCTTTGTCTCTTTTGCGGGCATTAAAATAGAAAAGTAGGACGGTCTTTCGCGGCAGACCGTCTCGTAAATCGATCCACTTTCTTGTGAGATCTCGCAATTTTTTTCTTTCAATTCTATTTTTTCGCGCGTTTGATTCGTTTTTTTTCGCACTGAATTTCGACGCTTCTCCGCGGATTTTATTATTTAAATTTGAAATATTTTGTTTTACATCAGTTACAC